CACGAAACCTGCATATACCACTGCCATGGCTGCTAAAGGAATCAAGACGAAACCTCAGCAACCACCGATGCTCGGAATATCCAAAACCGGTTCTTCATCTTGGAGATGGAAAGATGAATACAACCTCAAAGGCTAAGGCACAACCGGAAGGAGGTTGTACACACCGTGGGAATATGAAGCATACTCTTGAAACTTGCTTTTAAGTTACATGGGTACCCAAAATGGTGGAAAGAACTCAAGGCACAAAAAAAAAAACCATTAATCTGATGCTAATAGTGGGTTGGAACGAGATTCCTTGATAAATGCAGAACCTCACTTGTCTTTGATTCCACAAGTAGAACTTCAAGTGATTCAACTACTCTCAACAACAAAGGTAATCGTGGCTATTCTCACAAAGGAGATCATTGGGCGTGGTACTAAGACGGAGGGTTGTACTACATGGATGATTTTATTCCTGGTGTTGACACCCAAAATTATCCTTGGTGGGAGCGGGCCGATTGCAAGTCACAAAGGACGTAAAACACGGCCCACATAGCATGAATTCGGAGAAAGGTCGTGAGTCAGGCTCATAAGTATCGGAAAGATTTGGAGCAGTTATCGACAGGACACGTCATAGAAGTGTCAACAGGTTGACAAGCCCAAAATCATGAGCCTTGCACATGACGTCGACAAGTCCAAGATCACGAGCCTTGCATGTGACGTCGACAAATCCAAGATCACGAGCTTTCCATGTGATGTTGATAAATTAAGCACGTGGTGTTACATGGTAAAGAAATTCATTTCCACGTGTCAAAAGGTAAAGACATGACCGTGGACGTGAAGATCAAGGAAGTTAAATAGTGAAACGTGGGAAACAGCAGGAAATAAGGAGACACGTGGAAGAAAATAAGCTATTACGTGATGCTCAAGGGGCGCAAGCAACATCGACAAGTCAGGAAGCGGTTAAAGTGTGAAATGTAAGGAAGTGGAAAATAACTTTCAAGGAGAAGTAGCCGATCAACAATTATCAGGCTGCCCTATAAATACTCAAGGATTTCCGACGTAGAAAGGACCTCCGAACAAGACAACATACCTCTTATCTATCTTTATTTTCAGCACAATAGGAGTAGTAATAGTTATAGCCTTTCGATTCCACGTCGTAGATTCAATTTCGGTGCGAGTCTTTATCAGATCCAACATTGTTAATTAAATTCCAATGTTGTGCCACCAGTTCAACGTCGTCGATTAGATTCCGGCGTTGTGCTTAAAATATAGCTGTTGATTAGATTCCAGCCATATTCTCTCAGGGCACGTCATTGATTAGATTCTGGCGTACCTGGAATTGTAATGTTGTGTATTGGTTGTGTCGTTGATTGGATTCCGACATAGCTTGGTCTTGGCATTTGCAAGTTGTCATCCTATTGTTAGTATTGTGGAGTTAAGTGTATTATCGAGTTAAGTTGTAAGACACAAGTTGGGTTTAATAGACGCATTTGACATTCTCTGTCCGAGCTTGACTCAAGACCTAGTCTCCTCTAATAAAATCCGAAACGCAGCGTTCGGTAAAAGATTTTTGACGAGATAAAACCGGCGAAACACCTGGTAAAACAAATAACATGCAACACTCAACTGGTATCAATGAGAGATAGATTTGGCTATAGCATCGTCATTTGGGACATCTATCATTTAGTTATATGAAGTACCTATTTCCTGAGTTATTTTCCAACTTACAGAATTCATCTTTTAAATGTGAAACTTGCATTTTAGCTAAAAGTCATAGGGTACCTTTCTCAATAAGCTTGCATAAGAACGATATTCCCTTTGCCTTAATTCATTTTGATGTTTGGGGACCTTCTCCAATTACTACTGTTTCCAGAATTCATTGGTTTGTGACATTTGTTGACGATTGTATTCGAATGACTTGGCTATACTTACTCAAACACAAATATGATGTGTTGGGTGTGTTTCGAACTTTTCATGCTATGATTCATGCTCAATTTTCATCTAAAGTTCAGATTCTACATATTGACAATGGTGGAGAGTATGTTAATCGGGAATTTCAAAATTACTTCCAAAATCAAGGTCTTCTTCATGAAACATCATGTGCTCAAACAACACAACAGAATGTAGTTGCAAATGAAAAAACATACGTATCTTAAAACTGCTCATGCATTATTGATTACGCACATGTGCCGAACAAATATTGGGATAATGATGTGGTCACAAAAGTATATCTATTGAACCGTATGCCTTCAAAAGTGTTGAATTTTAAGACTCCATTATAAGTTCTTTCCAATCATGTATCTCTTCAATCCTACCCAACAGTTGAACCTGCAACTCTGGGTCATATTAGAGAACCCGAGTTCCTCCAGCAAATCCAATTGTTTCAGAGATAAGCCGTTCCATGCGATCTCCACTGATTCTAGCCTCCAGTAGCATGAGGATATGCAGCTGATAGTACTCAACAATATCCCGCACATTACTCAATGCGGGGACGTATAGACGCATGTTGGGAGATTAAAAAGAACACAAAAAAGGGAGCGCGTGAAAATAAGTTTCATAAAGAGAAAAGGGACCGATTAATGGACATTAAAATTCCTAGCATAACAAAATTTATGAATCTCAAAATCTCTAGTTTGTAGAAAGTAAAGTGAATTATTGTGCTTTAGCTCCTAACCGGCATAATAAATAGGTTAGTGAGGAATTTAGGATAACGATGCTTAAAATAAATGAGAAACGAAGTTGTGATTAGTTAGACTTGGGCGAGTCCAACAAAGGGCAAAGGCTATCTCCTGAGAGGATACCGTTTGACATCCTGTTAAACTCCTTGGGATTCATTTCAGTAGGATTGTTAAACCCATCAATATATCTAGTTTAATTTAACCATCACTAAAACTTGAAGTCAATAAGTTGTGGGCAGACCACCCTAGGTTCTGCACCCACCAATTTATCCTAACCTCTCTCTCCGGGGAAAGCATTTTCACCTTGGTTTCCAAAAAATGGAATAAGACTTCCATCTTTTAGATTTGGGAATAGCACCAAAGAAGTCTTAAACTTATTGCATTTGTACCAATTCAGGTCTAAATCTTTTAATTGGACCAATTTAGACCTAAACCCCAATTCAGTCCATCTAGCCAATTTAGGCCGGAAATCGCTAACGCGGACGCTGACCGTCCTACATGGCACGGTCAGTGCTGACGTAGACATGTTTCATAATTTTTGAATTTTTTATTAATTTTTTAAGATTTCCTTTTTTTTCTTTATTTCCTTTCTTTTTATTTTCATTCTCTCTTTTTTGGCATGTGGTAGGTACTTTGCCATGGCTAGTGACCAGCCACAGGCGAGGACATCACAGCACTCGCCAGCCACTGGCGAGGGTCACCCTTACCCAGGCTGCAAGGGTTGAGCCCTTGCCAGTGGCCGACGATGGCCGAGATGCACTCGCCTGTGGTGGGTGTCCGGCCATGGCCGAGTACTAGGTACAAGCCAAAGGAAAGATAAGGAAAAAAATGAAAGGAAAAAAAGGAAAAAGAATTAAAGAGAAAAAGGGACTATTTTTTAAAATTAATAAATTAGTTAAAAAATATAGGGAGAATACCACCAAAAACCCCAAACTATGTCACTTGTGATAAATTTACCCTAAACTTGTTTTTGTGATACGAAAAACTTCAAACTGTACCACTCATGACAAATTTACCTTGAACTTTTTTTGTGATGCAGCCCTCACCCAACCCCAGCGCCGGCGAGGGCCACCCTCGCTAGCTTCCCTCTTCCATGGCCGGCGGAGGGAAGAGAGAAGAAAATAAAATAAAAAAAAAAAAGAAAAAGGAAAAAGACGAAAATATCCATGGGCCAAAGTATTGTGGGGTAAATATATCACAAGTGACATAATTTGAGATTTTTCGTATCACAAAAAAAAGTTCATGGTAAATTTGTCACAAGTGGCATAGTTTGGGGTTTTTTGTGTCATAAAAAAAAGTTTATGGTAAATTTATCATAAGTGGCATAGTTTGAGGTTTTTAGTGGTTTTTTCCCAAAAATATATTAAAAATGTCCGCGTTAACACCGGCTGTGCCATATAAGACGGCTGGCATCCACGTCGGCAAGTACTACTTAATTTGGCCGAATTGACTGAATTGGTATCAATGTGAAAATGTTTAAAACAAAATTGATTCAATTGAAGGAATTAGAACTAAATTAATACAAATGCAATTGGTGTATGACTTTTTTGGTACTTTTCCTTTAGATACCGAGGCCCCTTCTCCAAATCAAGCCATCATCACCGGATGTCCCTATCTTCCATTATAACAAGAAGGATATGATCCTTTAAGCTCATTAGTTTCTCGTGTTGGCGAGGTCTAAAATGACATCGATGTTGCGTGAAACCGAGTCTCATATACGTTGAATTACCATCGCATCTCTTGCAATTGTTCATTTCAAATTCATTCGGAAGTCCAATCAAATTGTGTTAAGAATTTACTTTTCAACGAGCACGTGTGACGAAAGCTTAAAGAAACACGTCTTGAGAATAAGATAAACAAGTGGATTTCTCTTCCTAAATAGTAAAATAACCTAACCCTTTGGAGCTTCAAACACGATACGTCATGGTCATAAATATGACGAGATTTTTTTCTGACCATTATTGAATGATGCCAACAAGGCTAATTCATTCGAGTAAGGTATATATCACTATCTAGCTATAATGAAAGAGATTCTGCTATAATGTCACGTCTCCAATTATGTCAATTAAGGGCGTGCATGATAATATTTCTATTCCAGAAATAGATTTTTCTATTTCTATTCCGTGGATGAGTTTCTAAGCAAAAATGCGTGTTTGATAACGACACAAAATTTCTCCCTTTCGAGCTGCCGGCGGAGGACGGCGGGTGGCGGCGAGGGGTAGAGGACAGTGGCCGGCGATGGGAGGTGGCCGACCGGCGGCGAGAGGCAATCGGCAGCGGCCGACGTCGGGTGGTGGAGCACGGCGGCCAACGGCGGGGCACGGTGGCTGGCGACGGATAATGGCGGCGGAGGGTGGCCGGAGGCAACCGGCGTCGAGCGGTAGAGCACGACGGCTGGCGACGGAGGATGGCGGTTGGGGGTGGGTGGCAAGGGGCGACTGGCGACGGGGGGTGGCTGGCACCAAGTGGCGGCCGGTGTCAGGTGGCGATCGGCATCGGGCAGTAGAGCACGGCAACCGGCGGCGGAAGACAGTTGCTGGTGGCGGGTGGTGGCTAGCGTCGGGCGGCGGAGGACGGTGGTCGGCAACAAGAGGCGGTCGGCAAGCGGTGGACGGCGGGCGGGAGGCGGGCGGCGGTGGGAGCTGGCTGGCAGGTGGCGGCGAACGATGTGGGAGGCGGCGGTGGGCAGGTTGCGGCCGGCGTTGGGCAGCGGCGAACGACGGAAGATGGCAGTGGGAGGAGGCGATCGGCGAAGGAGGCTAGGAGTAGGCGGCCAACGACGGGAGGCGACTGATGGCAAGAGGCGGCCGGTGGTGGTGGGAGGCGGCCGGCAGCAATAGCGAGCGGCAAGGGAGTGGCTGGCTAGTAGCAAGGGTAAGCGATAAGAAGAGTTTTTATTTCTCATATCTGTTCCAGAAATAGAAAAGTAATTTTTTTTTACTTCTGATTTCTACTCCAAACCTATTTCTGAAATAGAAATTTGTTTCAAAAATAGAAAAATAAAATTACATTACTAAACGGATTTCTGTTCCAAACCTGTTCCTGAGAACAAAAAAATAAAAAAAAATAAAGAAATAAAAATATTACCGTGCGCGCCCTGAAACTCCCCTCTAGCCATATTCAAAGTTCTTTACGAAGTTTTCTCCTTTTTCCTCCTTAAAAGTCTAAACTCACGTCCCAAGCAGTCCAATTCGAGTAACATAAAAAATAATTTCCTCATAAATGATTGACGTTTTGGGAACGATCGCTTGCTCACAATCGGAGCACGTCACGACGCTCACTGACCAACGAAAAACGTGCGGTCGCAAACGAGTTGCAGGGATCAGACGGCGTGGCTTCATTACGTGCAATCATTCGTTCACGGCGTTAATTGAAAAGTTCCCCCTGGGACGTTCTTTCGTTCTGACCACTCTTTATTGGAAGGGAAGAAGATTGGCGGGCCATCGTGCCTATGCTTAATCTGGGAAACTGGATTTGGATTGGCTAATTGAAAAATAATGAGCGATCTGTTAGGGGCATAGCAGAATTGTTTTTTCAATATATATGTCGATAATTAATCAAAAAGATATTTTTGGATAAGAATGGAGAATCTTTGCAATTAAAAAAGTTTTAATCTTGGAATAGTGCCATTAGTATCGGGGATTACAGGTTAATCTTTGATTCTTTCTTGACAATTAGTGGGGACTTAGAATAGGAGTTAGGCTTATGGGAACACGTTGTACGGTATCTACAAAAAAAGATTTTGATCCCATGAAAAATGGCAAAGGTTGAGATTCCCAAAAAATGGCTATGTGATGCTTGAGATTTCCAATAATAACAATGTCCTTAATTAGTATTAAAGATTAAATGATGTAAGAGCAAATGAATGCTCACAAATCCTCATGAGATATCAATTGATTTTCAGAGATTTTTTTGCCTCATATTGAGGGACACATTTACGGTGGATTGAATGCACCGGACAACATTGCGATGTGTCATCCTAATTTAAAATATATAAACTTCATAAAACGAAGTAAAATTACTTTATAACGTTATGGCGGTTCGTCGTAAATAAATATAAAAACGTCATGATAAAAGAGGTGGTATTATCTATTGTTATACCTTAAAATTTCCCTCGGTATTGGGAGGGTCCACAACCTTCTCATTACTCCTTCGGAATCTTGAAATTGAAAAAGTGGGAGAACATTTTGCTTTTCATTTTCTTCCTTTCTTTTATTTTGTCAGGTTATAAAGTTCAGGTCTCGCAGTAGCACCTACTACATATGGTTAACATTTACAACATGGTGCAAAGAAAGAAAGAACAATCTAAATCTCAAACAAATTATTAAGATATCTCTTGAGTTTGAGTCCGTAAATGAAGTATGATCCAAATAAACTAGCGAGGAGTTTAAATTTTTTCCTAGTTTTTAGCATGTTTCCTAAATGGGGTTTCCTACTTTACATACAAATTTATTTTTTTTGTTGCCAGGTGTATTCCTAGACTTTGGAGCTCCTCTAAGAAGAGTTTACACACAAATATTATATATATAAGAGATTGATTGCACACGAGAGCAAAATAGATCAGCGTTAGGGTTTTTCTCTATAAGTTTTCTAATTGAGTTCTTTTTTGTGGGCTAACACTTGTAGATTTGCTTTTGGTATAATCTAGGTTGAGAAACACTTGAGCAAGTTGAACGACTGTAAGTTGTGTATTCTTCAAATTCATAGTGAATTTCTTGGTTGGTAGCTCTCACCATGGAGTAGATACCAACGCTCGGATCGCATCACGGTATCCAATTCTTTGTTAATTTCTCGGCTAATTCTTTCTTCTAGAGTTATACCTGAATTGCAATTATGTTAGCTTTCTGTGTTATTTTCACAATCTAGAGCGCATCTATTTCTTTGTTTTAAATCATTTCACAAGTTATCTTTCATAGATTAAAAAGGACACTCAAATTATAGCTTTTCCGATTCAAGCTCTAGCTTATAGCAGTTCCAAATGGTGGAATATGGGAACGTACTTCCCCACCAAAAGCCAAACAAATTTTGTACATTAGTCATATTTTGTAATTTTTAATAACTCTTACGGGTCCCATCCTTTTCTGCACTTATGCAATTCCATGCAATAAATTTAAATAGTTATTTTCTTGATGATATTACTGAAAAATTATACTATGAAATACAGTGCATCAACCAATTAAAAGAGTCGTTGTAACATATATCGCATGGCGACAAAAAAAAAACATAACGCATAATTTTTTTTCTTAAACAATTATGAATGCTTTATTTGAGAATTGGACCTAATTCTCTAAAAACCCTCAACTTTATGTTTAGTCCCAATTTTATGGGGAACCTTATTTTGTCTAAAACAATCTCTCAACTTTCACTTTAGTTTCAAATCTGCCGACACGTTAAAAAATCATTATTAATTTCTTCAAAATTATGAATATCAGGGCTAGTTGAATATCAGCACCCCCACTTTCGTATGGAACAGCATAAACCTTCTGATGTCGATAATTTTGCAGAAACCAGCGGCGATTTTCGGACGCGGGGGCAGATTTAGGACCAAAGTGAAAGTTGAGATTTTTTTTAGACAAAAAAAAAAGGTTCGGGGGAGAATTGAGATTGAACCTATAGTTGGGGTTTTTTTTTTTTTTTTTGAATTAGCCCCTGAGAATAGTAATCCATAGAACTATTTCATTCTTTCAGTAACCACCAACCAGTTCGCCCATTTTACATTGACGACGAGTTGGATTGGGGTAAGGTAAGACGAAGAATCGCTCTCTCTCTCTCTCTTTCTCTCTCTATATCTCTCTTCATGCTCAAGCGGCTCGTCGTCCTCTCTTTGCAACCGACAAAAGTGTGCATGTGATAGAATCCGTAGTAGTAGGAGATATTTGAGGGAACGCAAGTACCAGTCCGAGCGATTCTGGGCTTCTCTCTCGCCCCAGTCTCTCTGCTATCCCAACCCATTTAAAAGGTTTAACCTCTTCATCTTCTTCTTCCAATCTCTCTCTCTCTCTCTCTCTCTCTCTCTCTCTCTCTCTCTCTCTCTGTGGATAAAGTTTTACTGGAATGTACACAGCATTCTTCTTCTCTACTGAAAGTTCTTGAATTCATATCCCCAGAAAGAAGATCTGCAATTTCCTTGAAAATTTTCCTTCTCGAAAGATCATCCACCTTCTTGTATTGCCTTGTGTTCCATGCATTTTGAAGAGTACCCCTAGTCACTGCAGAAAAATTTTCCAACTTACCCTAAAGGAAAGATTGCATTGGCATTCTTTTAACAGTCTTTTCTTTCTCCCTTTCTTCTGCGAATCAAGATTAGGGTGTCTGCTGAGAAGAGATTGGGAAGAAGATGAAAGTCGGGGTGATTGGTGGCGGCGTGAGCGGCCTCGTGGCCGCGTACGAGGCGGCGAGAGGGGGAGCCAAGGTGGTGGTGCACGAGAAGGAGGATTACTTGGGCGGCCATGCCAAGACCGTGTCCTTCGACGGTGTCGACCTGGACCTCGGCTTCATGGTCTTCAATCGAGTAAGTAGTCTGCAGCCATCTCCATCTCCATTTTCCTCCTCTTCTTCTTTCGCATTTTGCCCCCACCATTATCGTCACTGCATTTTCCTCCATTTTTCTTGTTGAGTCCGCCCCGCTCAGGGCAAAGACAGAGATCTAGTTGTACATGTCAGGAGCCAAACATCTCGTGACAGATAAGAGTGACTTCCTCGTTATTACGCTAGTCGCCCATGCTCGTCCTCTTTTCCCTAGAAACACAATAAACGACTCTCTAATTGGGGTTTTAGGGGGCTGCGAAGGCAGTAGAATAGCTGACTTTCTGAATGTGCAATGTTCAGATTTAGAAAGTCACAGTGCCTTTCTCCACGTGTATATGTCTAATTTCAACCTTTTGTTTTTTCGGTTTTTGCGGCATATATTTTTCTCTCTTTTTTTTTCAATCTTAAATATAAGATGGGCTGATTTCGCAAGTATACTCTCCAATTGTCATGAATCAGAAAGCTTTTCTTGAAAGAGAGAGCGCCTTAAGATTATAGGTATTAATGGTTATCGAGATAGGCATGCTGCTGCCTGTTAGTCTCTGATACCATTTATTTCCATTTTATTAGTCTCGGAGCGGTAAGTGGAGATTATAATCTTTTTAAGAATTCGAATAACATATTAATTTTACTTGAAGGGAGAAAAGTTAATAGTTGGACAAGTTCAATCAAACAAACTCTAATTGAAGAATTAGTATGAGAATAGAGTGGAATTGATAACGATGTGGAACTATTTTTGGTGTTATGTGAAGAAACAAGGAATTGAAAGAAAAGGGCTTCGGTGGAACAGTCGGGTGTGGTCCACCGCTGCAATGTCAGCCCAATAAAAAGTTAGAGGCTCTGAAAATGATTGGGCCTCTTTTCAGTTCTTGGATTTTTTTTATTCAAGTATTTAATTTGAAAAGAATTGCAAATGATGATGATTTAAAAAAAAAAGTTTTGTTTCAAGTAACACGTGCACGTACATGTTGTTCTAAGCATTAGAAGTTATATGTTAACTGGACTAGCCAACCTATTTACATGAGGATCTCGCTTATCGATATACCAAATATCAAATTATATTAAGTTTAGTCCACTATTACAGAGTTACCTATTTAGGTACTCACATGTTATGAGGATAAACTCGGAGAGTGAACCTGTGCACACGCGAGATTATTTTCTATTAAAGGGAGTTTAGCACGTTTAGTAGGGACAATAAGGTGATCCAATAGTTTGTAGATCCTTCGTTATCAGTA